TAGAGAATTGAAAAGTCGATTCAGTCGTAACAACGTGAGTGAGGAAATTCGAGTAGTTTTGATCCAGAAAGCGAAATTTGAATATCAGACACTTATTTTTTCATATTTTTTTTCATTTTTTCACCAAAGAGAAGCTAATTCGGTAGTAAATCACCGATCAACCGAACGTAAATTAAATTGAACTTTTCCTTCTCAATTTCTTTAATTCATGTACGCAATAATACACATTCACATTGCTTAAAGGTCAGCCGAAACTATGCTATTTCAATTTACGAGTTTCTGCATCCAGGTTGCTTTCTTTTATGTCATTTTTTTCGCGTTTACACATAAACGTAAATAAATAATGCAAATGTCGTTTTGTCCGACAAATTCCCGTGTTTGGCCGAGCCTCAGTTGTTTTGTTGGCCCAATTAAAATAGTTGATATTTCGCCTAATTGGACTAATTGCGAAATGATTAATTGGCCAAAAGCTCCGGAAAAACGTCCGGATTCTGACAGTTGAAGAGATTCTTTGCGGTCAGTTCAACCTGGAGAAGCATGCGGAATGCAAGCAATGCTGCTCATTTAATTGGACTTAAAAGTATTTAAACAACCACACTGTTTCAGCTGTTTCTGAACTTTCCTCTGCCAAGCCTCAAATTGCAGTTTAATTAATTAACATTTCTCATTCTGCACTCGTAACTTCCAGGCACATTTTAAGGGCGTCCCAGTTAGTGCATTCTTCCAATTCTAATCACAAACACCTGGGCTCTTTACCTTGCTGTTGGCCACTTATCAAATGAATATCTTGCGTGAATGCCAGCCGATTTTTTAAGCAAACCTCGTTTAATCAATTGCACCAAAGAAATAAATTTCAAATGGCTCTCAATGCGAATATGAAAACCGATTAACGGCCGGATGTGCCTGCTGGATCTCAGGTGTAATTTCAAAATGAGGATGTGATTGGAACGATAATTTCAAATCGGGACGACAATTTGCTGTATCGGCAAATCAATGTTTTGCAGCTTTGGAAAAAACAAGTCGAAAATAACTTTGTAGATTGGAAAATGGTACTTTTGTTGCAGATTCACGCAGAATTTTGTCGATGTTCGGGAAAAGGAGCGAAAATTCAAAAGGGGTACCAGAGAACAGGGACGCTCCCTAATGAACATTCACAATAATGAGGCTGGACGAAGGGTAAGTCATCATATGAAGAACATTAAAAAGCTAATGTTGCAAACTCATCAACTGTATTTTTGAATATTTCTCAAGGGTGTCAAAGTTATTAAAGGGCCTTGAACAGCGTTAACAATTTTATTGCAAACTTCGATTGGAGAATATTGGAGCTGAACTGAATAAACAATTTTGAACTTAATTCAGACGTTTCACTAACACGAACGACTAGCATCTTCAGAGCCACCTCTCCATCCTCATCCATTAATAAACTTTCATATCTAAAGGATGCCGTTTGAAAAACTTTTAAATAAATCTGCATAAAACTGTATAAATAATGGTCTTTAATTGCTTTTGTACCGCAAATGCCGATTGCTATTATGCTCTAGTGACTGTTTCAACTAAATCAAGTCAAGGAAAATCAATTAATTGCCAATAATTGGGCCATTTTAATGTCGGACTGAAACAATTATCTAAATATTTTCCTCGCACAGCAAATCAGCCAATCAAATCAGTTTCAGCTGACTACGCGGATTATCAAGCAGCCTGATAATCACACTTCAGTGATCGTGTGCAATAAGAGAACCAAGAGGAAGAATTGAAATTTTATAAAGCTGTCAATCACACTGAACGGGTTTCAAATAAGTGAATGCTGGGTTTTCATTTGCGTTCCCTGTAGCGTTAAGTAAACATGATCTGATGCATGCTATGGACAGGCAAATTAATATTTCGTGTTTAAACAAATGAGTACCTTACCAGCCATATTGTTTTACCACTAAATTATTTACAGTTAATTCACGATTATCTAAGAGTGGACTGCGGCAACGCCAGATTTAATACTTCTAAAAAAATCGAGGCGATAAATTTGGACATTGACTATGTTCAATTATTGCACACTATTTTGCGCTTTTGGCTCGATAGAAATAACGCAAACCGAACGTAAATGTCTAGTGCACTGACTAAATGTGCACGCAGTCGCAGATTGGCACACGTAACGCGTTGGATTCCCGGACTTTTGATATTCTTAAGTGCACTCGGGCCCGCATTTCAAAAAAATGTTCGCCTCGATTACAAAGTCAATCTGACCCCGAAGTGTAAAGGTGTTAGCAACATTTACATTAGATAAATCACCACGTACATATGTCTAATGTTGCAAGAGCCATAGATTACATGTATTCACATGGAACTATTAAGTTGCATTAATAAGATAGTAATTTACCGGTGTGATGGATTTGCACAAGATATACATTATTATCGCGTTCCATCGAAATTTTACATGTTGATGCGGATGATTTGAAACAACAGTAAAGGCCTGTTGCAACAGACACCGTAAACATACGGACGTGATCGGTTTTTTTTCATAAAAAGCGCATTTGCGAAAAAACTTTATCTAATTAAAGCCGCCCATTAGAAGCACGCTTCATCGTAAATGCCTATTTGGTTTGTATGATGGCACCCCACTGACCTGGAGGATCGTTAAGACTTTATTGGGTAAAGTGCAGAAATCTGAACCAGTTGTACGAGCTCAGGCATATAAAGTAAACATTTCTTTCCGAAACGAAGTAAATCCTCACGAGCCAAAGGGTCTTCGGCGCAAATATGGCACTTAAGGTGCCATAAACCGCATTTTCCTCAAGGTGTTAAAACGACCTTTAGCCACATCTTTTATTATCCCATAAATTTGAGCAAAGATCAGATATGTGGTAAGACCATTAGCCGATTTCTTATGCATTGCACGAACACATCCCGACTCCTACAACTTGACGTACCAAGAAACATTAAATGTCAATCTATGGTCTTTTATAAGTACTTTTAAGGGAATCGCCTCGTTACGAGTGAAGTTTTTTTTTTAGAAATAAAACCTAAGCTGTTTCTCTGCGCTTTTGATTCGGTCGTTCCTTCTCGGGACATTTAACGAAGTTATTACACGTTCAGTTTATGGTGGGAACTTATCATTGTGACTAATTATGATTTATTTATTTCCAACTAGAGCTATAGACCATAATAAATTTTATATACAGGGTGGCAAGAAATTGTGGGGTGTTAATCAAAAAAAAATTGTTAATGTTTGAAAATGACCCAGAATCCATTCTGGGAGAATGTATAGTAGTGAAGTTGTAAAATCGCAAAGAAAAAAGTCTTGGAAAAATTTTGGAACAACCGGTAGATAATAGTAAAAGTCGGTCGATCCGTAGAAGCGCAAGAGTCCAAATTGCAGCAGTAAGAGCGAAAAAAATCACACAAAATGACAAAAATGAGACTGAGTAAGAAACTCCATGAATTAAAACAAAGTGAGACATCAAAAGTTCAGGATATGTTGAACGAAGCAACATCAAAACCGCGAACGTGAACCACGCAAAAGGCCTCTAATCTGCGGTAAAAAACCGACAAGTTTTGCTAAAACGTGCACTTGACTTTGGAAAATGTCAATAAATCTCCGAATATTATGCAATTTAGTCACAAAATTCTCAGTGTTTTGCCAGTTTTTTGCGAAGAACACACTAGATATTCAGTCGATTTCTAAAATTTTAAAAGCGCATGAAAAAGTCGACACAAGAAAACGATCAATTTTTGCAAGAAAGCGGCATTTGAATTTAGACAATTTTACTAAGTGTTTTGCCAGTTTTTTGCGTAGAACTCGGCCAGTTTTCAGCCCAGTTCCAAAAGTCAAAACGCACGCAAAAATGCCCGTCAAAAAACCTACAACTTTGCTAAAAACCCTACTTGAGTTTTGAGAAGTTTAATAAATCTCTGAAAATTAAATTTAGACGCAAAATTCTGAGGCAGTTTCACAGTTTTTTTTGCCTAGAACTCCGCGAATTTTTAGTCAATTTCCAAAATTTAAAAAGCACGAAAAAAATATTAAAATTTCTCGCAAAAAACTTGACCTTCGCAAATTGCAACAAATTTCCGAAGATGAAACTTAGACACAAAATTCTGAGCGTTTTGCCAGTTTTTTTTAGGAAGAAGCCACCGGTTTTTTGGTGGATTTTTAAACTTCAAAAAGCTCATGAAAATTCTCGTTTAAGTCAACACAATAAAATCGAACAAATTTTTGCAAAAAAGAGGCAAGGATCGGTTAATTAAACTTTAGTGTAAAATCCTGAAGTGTTTTGCCTGTTTTTTGCGCAGAACACACTAGATATTCAGTCGATTTCTAAAATTTTAAAAGCGCATGAAAAGGTCGACACAAGAAAACGATCAATTTTTGCAAGAAAGCGGCATTTGAATTTAGACAATTTTACTACGTGTTTTGCCAGTTTTTTGCGTATAACTCGGCCAGTTTTCAGCCCAGTTCCAAAAGTCAAAACGCACGCAAAAATGCCCGTCAAAAAACCTACAACTTTGCTAAAAACCCTACTTGAGTTTTGAAAAGTTTAATAAATCTCTGAAAATTAAATTTAGACCCAAAATTCTGAGGCAGTTTCACAGTTTTTTTGCCTAGAACTGCGCGAATTTTTAGTCAATTTCCAAAATTTAAAAAGCACGAAAAAAATATTAAAATTTTTCGCAAAAAACTTGACCTTCGCAAATTTCAACAAATTTACGAAGATGAAACTTAGACACAAAATTCTGAGCGTTTTGCCAGTTTTTTTTAGGAAGAAGCCGCCGGTTTTTTGGTGGATTTTTAAACTTCAAAAAGCTCATGAAAATGCTCGTTTAAGTCAACACAATAAAATCGAACAAATTTTTGCAAAAAAGAGGCAAGGATCGGTTAATTAAACTTTAGTGTAAAATCCTGAAGTGTTTTGCCTGTTTTTTGCGCAGAACTCCGCGAGTTTTAGGCCATTCCGAAGTTCAAAACGCACGTAAAAAAGCTTAAAATTCTTCGCAAAAAACGGCAACTTTCGCTGAACACTCAACTTGACTTTCGAAAATTTCAATAAATCTGCGAAGATGAAACTGACACTAAATTCAGAACGTTTTTTCAGTTTTTCATCATCACCCAGTTTTTAAATTCTAAAACTTCATGAAAAAGGCGTCTTAAGTCGACACAAGGAAACCGATCAATTTTTCAAAAAAGTGGCCTTTGAATTCAGAAAATTTTACCAAATATCGTTTTTTTTGCGTAGAACTCGCCGAGTTCTTAGCCCATTTCCAAAAGTCAAAACGGCTCGTAAAAAAGCTTCAAATGCGTGGTGAAAAACCGACAACTTTTGCTACAAACTCTACTTGAATTTCGAAAATTTTCAATAAATCTCCGAATACAATTTTTAGTCCATTTCCAAAATTCAAAATGCACGTGAAAAAGCTTAACATACGTGGCAAAAATGGACAACTTTTGCTAAAATCTCTATTTGACTTTCGCAAATTTTAGCAAATCTCTGAAAATGAAACTAAAACAAAACTAAATTCTGCGGCGTTTTCCAGTAGATTGCTAGCATTAAACTATTCCTGAAAAAGCCTGTAAATGGGCACAAGGAAACCGACAGTTTTTGCAAAAAAATTTAAAAATCGGAGAATAAAACTTTCTTTCATATGAAATCGTCAAGTTTTTCAAGGTGGACGAAAAATGGAGGAATATAAATGGAAATACGACCAGAACTGAACATCACCTACAACCTAACAAAACTGAAGATTAACTTATAGAACACAGGTGCAACATGAGTATGAAGCATGAAAATGGAGTTATGGAGAGATAGAGGCAGAACTAAAGCAACTACATACCTAATGTATCATGAATGAAAAATGAATAAATTGAGCAAACAAGCGTAATTGAAAATTACGGGATTAAAAGGGAGGAATCTACAAAAGAAGACAGTCCCTAGAGTCATAAGCATAATCATAGCACCTACAAAGGGGGAATAGGGAATAGAAGATATATTTAGAAGACAATAGAAGCAAATAAAATACTCTGTTAAAGGAGGGGCAAAGTAGTTTCAGGAAGGGGAGAAATTGGAAAGAATATTAAAACCTATAACAGGAAAGTTCCTTTATAAAAACAGAGAGAAGCGGCATCTAATTTAAGAAATATTCCATAAAACAAAGAAAGCAATAAGAAATCGAGTGAAAAATGGAAACACAAAGATCAGAACTGAAAAGTGCAAGAAATATAGAGGAAAGTAAATAATGGGAGGGCCAAATTGACAATCATGCTCTTATCAACAGTTTTATCATGTGTTTTCCTGAGTATAAGTAATTATTTGTTTTTTTCAATTTCAGGCGGTCATCAAAAAATCGAAAGTCTCTTGCAAGTGCCATGGGGTATCTGGTTCCTGCTCTCTCATCACCTGCTTTCAGCAACTAGCGAACTTCCGGGAAATTGGTAAGTAAGCTCACATAATCGGGCATTAGGTGCAACTGCTGACTATTTCCCTTCTGTGTTATTTTTTTATGTTTTGTCGAAGGTTCTATCCCTAAACTGCCCGATTTGGAAAACCAACAGGCTTAAAAATCTACTAGTTCAGTTCAGATCCGAAGACTGCTGCCTGCTGTTGGTTGGGGTTGAGTTGAAAAAGTAAATTTCTCCCAGTTATCCTGCCTTGTCAGCATACCACAAAGGGGGGTCAGATCGCAAAATTCATGTGTGGTTGCTCAAACAAAAAACTGGGGATTTTTTGCAAGCGATTAACAACATCAGATGGCCGACCAAGCAAATTATAGGCTCTGGTATCAATGAATAAGAGATCGGTCTCGCTTGGCCAACTCTATTGATAAACTGTCGTTGTCATCTCTTGGGGGGCCCCACACGGTGGACTTGCAATTCGCATGTTCCTCTCACAAAGCCCACACTTGTGTCGGTATTTCGCATGATTTACTTGCGTGTCGATTTGCATCTGTATTTTCATGTGGTGGATCATTTCGATTTACCAGTGTTTTCCACTGTTGTGGTC